AAGGGATAGAGTTAAATTATTAGTGGAATATGTTTAATATTAAAAAAACCTATATATTCGCAATTTTATTTGTCATTCATACTTCCTATATATTATTATATAACTAACATAATAGAGTATATAACTTTAGATAACGTAACCTAGCAATAGGAAATTGCTCGTATCCTACTGTATTAACATTCTATAGAGATAAACATTTACAGTAGAGCGTCGTTTATCCGAATCAATTGGGGACTGGGGTTGTTCGGATAATCGATTATNTCCATCTTCCTCTTCGATCTAAAAATTTCTCTTTCTATATTTCTTTTTCTTTGTCTTTTTTTTTTTTTTAAATAAGAGAGAAAAACTTTGTTTTCGCAAGAGACATATATATAAAGTTTGCCACATAACTTTTTCCGAGTTAAAAATCGTCCAACTAAATGGACAACACCAGGTTTAAATTAGGGTGGATCACCTATCTGAAAAACGAGCTACGATCAGGAAGTGAGCACCGTTGCAACTTGACACTTTCTGACTCCGACTTTAGTGGCCCTTGGGGACTCTAGCACCAAAAGAATAAGAATTGAGAAGGTAGAGAATAGAGAATTCTCTCTTCTCTCGGGCAAAGATGCCGTCTGACAACTTCTTTCTTATTCTTTGCTCTCCTTCTTCCCTTTTCTTTTCCTTCTTTTGATCTGTCCTACTTACAGAACGGCTTCGTTTTGTATCCTTTAAACTAGTCGACTCCTAGCAATTTTCGGGCCACAAATTGATAGAGATATTGGTAGAAACTTATTAAGAATAATCATCGAATCGGTTATGTAATTAAGAGGAAACTAATCGCTAGGAAACGAATGAATATAACAAATCATTAAATTAAATTAAGAGAGAGAGAGAGAGAGAGAGAGAGTATTTTTTAATTATTTGTTTGTAATACTACCTTGACCTTTGACCTTGAAGATTTCTGAACTTTCGTTGTGTCAAGATAAAATGACAAGCTAATCATAAAGAAGAATTTATTTACTTTTAAAGTATTGTTTATTGATTCTTTAAGTATTATATTGAGTTACAGATTACGATGTTGAGAAATTCCATCGTCTAACGGAACAATTAAGTTTAGAGAAATAATGAAGTCATTGTTTCAAGGAAGGAAAAGAAAATAGGTCATCGAAAGAGTGACAAAAATAGCCACCAACTGTCAACAACTTCCGGATTGTCAAGATAACAAAAAACTTATTTTCACCAGGAAAGAGACTTATACTTCCACGAAAAGGATATTGTATTGTTTGTTATTAATTAACGTTATGTAATCGCATTTTATGAAATTTTTATTCATTTTACTGTAATCTCACATAGATGAGAACATGTAAATCTTGTATAGATTTAGATATCTTGATTATCTACTTTGTTTTAAACTTTTAAACCAGTAACTGCAATAACCAAAATTCCTTATAAGCTATATATATATTTCAAGAGAGACTGAGTACTCTGCAAGAGTTTCGGGATTAGGCCTATACATTTTTTTTCTCAATTTCTTTTAGAGTCGAATTGCAAATCTAAATTATTTTGATTTTCTTGTGAAATATTGAGTTCAATTTAATTGGAGTATTTAGTTCTTGAAATAGTTTAATTAAAATTCTAAATTACTATTACAGTAGAACCTCGAAAACTCGGCCTAATATGGACCGAAGGGTGGCCGAGTTTGTAAAAATGCCGGGTTATCGGGAATGGGGTTAAAAAAAATAAGTACGAGTGTTTCCTCAGAAAATACTGTACTGTACTTGTATGTATTGTTTACTTGAGAATATAANTTAAACTTTTAAACCAGTAACTGCAATAACCAAATTTCCTATAAGCTATATATATTGATATATATTTCAAGAGAGACTGATTTTAGTACTCTGCAAGAGTTTCGGGATTAGGCCTATACATTTTTTTCTTCTCAATTTCTTCTCAATTTCTTCTAGAAAAAATTGAGAATAATTGCAAATCGAATTGCAAATCTAAATTATTTTGATTTTCTTGTGAAATATTGAGTTCAATTTAATTGGAGTATTTAATTCTTGAAATAGTTTAATTAATATTCTAAACTACTATTATTAACTTAATATAACAATCATAAAAGTATAGAAATTCCCTTTCTGAGTCATGAGGAAAGCTGAAAAAACTTTTATCAGAGTTTTTCCGTTTGCAATTATGGCAATTTGCCATAAAATTTACTGCGAAATAATTTAATCGATAGTTTATTGGGTATTGTCTTCTTGATGTGCTTTGTTTTTCAATTTCTGCTATTCTTTCAGTTCTTGTGTTGGTTCCTATTTTCTTTTTGTTTTTAATGTCGTGTTCGTCATTGTAAAATATGGTGTAATTCTTCTATTGTTTAATTGCTGGTGTAATTCTTCTATTGTCTCCGATAAATCTAATCTATGCTTTTCTCAAAGCGGCCGCGGGAGCCGAGTGGTTGAGTCCCTCGCTTTACATTACTAAGGTCTCCTGGTTTGGGCCCCGCTGTTGGATGCGGGGTCATGATTTCGTTATATAAATANTGCTGGTGTAATTCTTCTATTGTCTCCGATAAATCTAATCTATGCTTTTCTCAAAGCGGCCGCGGGAGCCGAGTGGTTGAGTCCCTCGCTTTACATTACTAAGGTCTCCTGGTTTGGGCCCCGCTGTTGGATGCGGGGTCATGATTTCGTTATATAAATAACGGATGTGTTTTTTTTAAGAAAATAAAAGTCAGCGAGATAATGGAAAGCTATTCGACAATAGATTTTTTTTAATTCTGATGTTTATCTATCCAAAATCAATTCAGTAAAATCGTGGTGAATAATAATAGCTGTAAATTAATCATAGTTCTAAAATTATATAATAAATTTATTTCCTTTAATAAATGACTGACTCACACATTAATACTAGTAGACGTGAAATGTTTAAATAGAAACTGACATATACGAAACAATGAATTCGAAGGAGACGTGGAGTATGTTACCAGAAAATTTTGAAATCTCAGAAAAGTAAATAAATAATCTACTTTAGGACCTACGAGAAATAAAGTTCAACAGCAATATTTATCATCTCGAGTTAAAGCTATAATAAAATTTAAATGGAAAATTCGGTTAAAATCAGTATTCGCCAGGCGTTAATTCATAAATCTGAATCGTGATTTAATTTTTCACTTATGGTTACTTAATTCTCGAGTTACAGATTAAGGCATGGACAATTTGAATTCTTTATAAAATATATATTCGATTTTTATGATGAGTTTAAGCTCTTACAACTGAATAATGCAATCGTTTATGATTAATATAGATGATTTACATAAACGATTACATCATTACAGGATTTTCAGTTTTAAATAAATTCTTTGTTTTCTTTTTCGTTCGATCTTTATTTGCTTTCGTTTTTAACATTTTGTAACAAAACAATGTTTATATTTCCATCTATATTTGTTACTGCATTTGTTTTTATTTTCTAATAAATTTTTATATTTTGCTACCAATTATAACAATTCTTTTTCCTCGAAGTTAGTATAGATTATGTTATTATTCAATCTCACTTGCAGCTCTCAACCAGATTTCTGACTGGCTGCATAAATGTTTTCTCACGAAATTGTAGGCTTTAACCCAGTTAAGTACCAACACATTCCATATCTTCTTTCAGTACACTAGGTACTAAAAAAATATATACCGATGATAAGCAAACTTGTAATATAGTCTACAGTTTAATTTTATTATTTTACTGGTCAAATTTAGTTTTGTGTGTGTGTGTGTGTGTGTGTGTGAGTAATTTTATTTTCCTGTCTTCTGCCTTATGCCATTTTGCAGAAAACAGGAAAATAAAATTACATTTTGAGAGCCGCGTACAATCCACGGGTTTTTCATCACTGATGTACAGTTACCAGCTTGAAATGTTAGATAATAAACTGCATATTGCTTAAACTGGTGCTTTAATCTGAATATGAGACAAGAAAAGAGTTCAATCTTAATCAGTAAATCTATTAAAACTTCTCAAAAGTTGGTACAGATTAATAACATAAATAATAATAATACTTTATTTGTCTTGAATGAAGTGTTCATAAAAGGGAATCATTCTATTTTGAATTGGTTATACTGTATAAAAAAGTTTTGTTATGTAATTAATAAAACGTTTTAATTAAATAACACGATTTTGATGCGTATTTTTGAAACACTTGAAACGATTAAAATAAACACTTTTCTAATATATAGGCCTAATAGAAAATTAATAAGCTTATTAACTAAACAAAAATTATTAAAAATAAGTAAAATAAATAATTTTTTATATTTTGAAATAAATTGCTTGTACTTAAAATAATTAAAATTCAAATAAACAATTACTCACGGTATATTATAAATACAATAGGTAATCGGTTAACGAACATAATCCGTTCCAAGACTTTGTTCGCTATCCGAATTGTTCGTTAACCGAGTATCGATTTATCATAGGTTTTTATGAGAATTTGATTAATTCGTTCTGGAGACCGTGCGAAAGACTTTCAACTATATAGGGTATAATTTAAATAGAATTCCAATAGAGGATATTTATGATAGATGATATATTGTGAAGTGAGAACTAAACAGTCTTACATCCTTTTGCAGAAAGAAATAAATTTTCAGACCAAAAACTGTGTCTAGTCTCCTACTGCTCATTAAAAGACGAAACACTATGTGTAACAGACAGATGATAAACATCGAAATAAAGTATAAAAAATGTAAATAGAACCCTCTGATTCTCACCTTACGATATGGATCTTATCATGACAAGTTTGACCATCCCTGTATTATATATTTTACTTAATTAATTAAAATTTATTTTGTTATCTAAATATCGTCTTGGATGTAAAACATTTTGAGCGTATCCATTGAACTTTTTATAAGAGAAAATTAAAAAATAAATTAATTGGCTTAATATAACGTTTCATAAATTTTATTATTAATCTACGTGATTATAATAAATACACGCAATTTACGTAATAAAATTTGCAAATTAATGCGTTTTTATAGAAATAGATGTTGGAAATATTGATTGTAAGAAAGACCTTCATTCATTCAAGGATTGGTGCAAAAATAGAGGTTGCAGGTAGGAATATTTTAGATTATATTCAAGTTTCATGTTATTAATTTAAATTTAAAATTATTATAGAAATTGTAATTATTTTTCAAATAAAATAATAAAATTATATTTATAACATAGTGATAATAAATATATTTTTAATGATAAATCTATTATTCACAGACATACAAATAATTGAAAATACAGTAGAGCGTCGTTTATCCGAAACGTCGGTTATGCGAAAGAATTCCAGACGGCCTAAAGTATAATTTTTATTTGTTTTTATATTTTTCAATATATTTATTTCGTTTGTAAAACATAAAGAAGTCATTTTTAACGATACAATAGCCACGATTATTATTTTAAAAAGTTTACGTTAGGCTTAACATCGACGAAAATTCAACGCGAAGCGACACGCAACGGAGAAAAATTTCAACATGGGATAGGTTAATAAATTTTTTCGTACATGATCGGTTATCTGAAACATAAGTTATCCGAACAACCCCAGTCCCCAATTGATTCGGATAAACGACGCTCTACTGTAAATTAAAACTGGAAAAACATATACACGTATACCTCGACTTAAAACTTCTTGGATATTACGACTTCGTCTCCTGAAATGTTTACAGTAGCCATATTGGCAAACGCAAGGTGCATGGGATTGAAACAAAACAAAATCAACTATGCTGTCAGAACACAACCGTACAATGTTTTTGGCATTCATTGGCAATGTATTCGTTGTTTAATCCACAGTGCATAAATGTTTGTGAAGCATAAACGTCCTTCGTGCCTCGTGCCTTTGGCACTTGCCACATTGCCAATGCATTGCTAATAACTGTACGCATAACCACATATTTCCTATTATACACTTCATCCGTTTATTAAATGTGTTTATTAAACGTAATATACATTTCGTTTTTGTCATTAGTGATGTTGATTACTATTCTATTCCGTCTATTAATATAGAGGATCATGCTATGTTGATTACTGTTTACAGCCGTCTTAGCATAAAAATGTCTCACTACTTTTGTAGCAATTACACGACCTCTCACCTTTTCCCTTCCGTTTGCTTTTACTCTGGAGGAGCTTCAAAGTAGAAGCGAACTGAACTTGAAATTAAATGAACTTGCGATCGGAATATTAGAATGGAGGTCCGTTGTAAGTCGAGTTATATCTATATTTAGACTTTATAATCATTTTATACTTTGAAGTCAGCATAATAAAGAAGCGACTAATGTTTATAACTTAACAATAATGTAAATAAATTTATGTAGGCCTATATATTAACATTTTATTATAAAATATCATATATTTTTAGAGGGCGTTGCACAAGCACCTGTATAGACGATGAAAAGAGAATTTGGGGAACGGAAACATATACTTATGTAATTTAGTAGTTTTTGTTACATTGCATTATTTACTATGTTGTTATTTATTTTTCATTTATTTAAAGGTTTCTCCAATCTGCAGATCGGCACTTCACGATTTACGCATTTCGTCTTGGAATAATTCACTTCGCACTGTCGAATTTCGGTATTTATATGATGTAAAAGTATACATTGGATCTCTGAGACAGAATATTGAAACATTTGAGTAAGTTCTCATTTATTTTATAAACTTGTCTGATAAGAAATAATTGCATTTAAAATACACAAAAAAGTTGTTTGCTCCTATATTACGGAGTAAGAAATAGATTTACTGTAAGTTTTTTTTTGCACAATAACGATAACTTTGCATAAACATGAAATCTGTTTTGAATAATATAACTTACAGAATTACGCATTAGTAAGCTATACTACGGCAGGACTATAGTTTTATTTTCAAATATTACTGCATAAATCGTAATTCTGGTTTTTCTGAAATATTTTTCTTAGTGTGAATTCATTTCAGTATCCACATTAATCTTTTTTACTTTTTATTTTTTGCGACTGCATAGGGCTTTTTTAAAAAACCTTTCCCGTCCTTTGGGCATCAAAAGGGTCTGTTTTAGCAATTCTATTATGGGTTCGTGTACGCCCACAATGGGGCAGACGATGGTGAGAGACATGGCTCCATATATCAGGGACCCCAAAAAGTCCGAGAGCAATATGATCAAGAAAAATGATTATTTATTTACAATACCTCGTTTGTGTTTAGTCAGACATTTTACACCAGCGGCGCTGATACAAAATATACATATATGTTAGCAGATCTGCTATAAACTGTTTCAATAGGTCGTAGTCCAAAACAATCAACAAATTCAAATTTGTTGATAATTATCACAAGTTAACCAAAATCTTAAATCCTGCTGTTTCCTTATTCATTTTTTGATTTTTTATGTCTTCTGGGTACTGAGAAGGTCTTTTTTTTTATACCAATTATTGTTTCGGTAAGCCCATAATAGGAAGCCGGGTGATGAAGAATGAAGCCATATATTTCTGGGATTTACATGAAAAGTTACTTTGGTTCTTTGTCACTACATTCGATTTTGGATCCTCACGATGGTAATCTGACTCCTAATTTAGAAATTGGCTTATTCTGATGATACCTTGAATATGAATTCCGTGATAATAATCTCATTCTTCTTTACATTTTACTTCTCATTTATTTGTAACCAGCAGATAAACCCGGAGTTTCTCGGGCAAAAAGTAACTATAGCGAAAATTAAGATAATTACATTATAGCCAATCTTATCCGTTTTATTTTCACAGAATGCAAAAATTAGGTCCCCCTGTTTCCAGACTAATTAGAGAATTTTTAAATAGGTCTAAAAATATGTTCGATTTTCCTCAACCGCATCTGCGCTTGTAAATCTTGCACGTCCCTTTCTCTTAACACTTCAATTGTTAACAGTTCAATTGTTAACACTTCCGTTGTTAATGAATACATTTCTTTCATCCCCCTTCTTTCAAATGCATCTAAAATAATACAGTAAAAGCTGAGTTCTTTAGGATAAGCTTAGGACAATCCTTTCCCTCTCCCTGGGGAGGGAATTTCGAAAAATCCCTTCTTAGTGTACATTCTCGTGACGTACCCTATTCAAACGCAATCAAAAACGCAAAAATCTCATCTAAAATAGTGTAATAGAGACCCAGTTATTCACGATAAGCCTTAGTCCTATCCCTATCCCCGCAGGGAGGAATTTCGTGTGACATCTGTATAACAGTAGGTATATAAAAACACGCTCGAATTCGAATGCAACGTTGTGTCAAAATTTCAAAGCAATCGGTGGAGAACTTTCGGAGATTTAAGATTTTGAACAAACGAACATTTACATTTTTATTTATATAGATAAGTACTTTCAAGGTTTAAATATTTAGATAAATATTTTTAAAAAATAAGTGTTTCGATTAGAATAACATTAATAAATCATATTTATTCTAGTTATGGAAGTATTATTCATGCTTCAGATGGTTGCTTTGTTTTTAAAAGTTCAAGGATAACAGGTAAATGAATATTTTAATTAAAAATAAACTTATGTATAAATTATTCAATATATATTTTAATTATTACAAATATATGCATAATTTACAAAATTTTGTACGGTTCCCAAACTTGCTCCTTGTAACAGTGAATATGAAAAACATGTGGTCGACAGTTTTAATGCGGCTTGCTTTTGTTTGTGCTCTATTGCCAGACAGGAATTGGCCAATTTTTTGGCATTTGACAATATTCTCCGTGTCAGAGGAAGCTGTAGACTGACAGCTATGGCTGAAGAAGCTATAGCTGAATTTGGTAATATCAGAATTTGCTTGTTTCTTTTAAAATCAGGCAACGATACTCTGCTCTATCAGGCAAGCCTGTTATCACTTTGATAACTGATTTTCCATTTTTATGATAGAAATGAATCTTGTTTTTCACCCTTACTTAGTTTCTTTCTTGGAAACATTTTATCTTAACTTATAAACAAAAACTTTTTTTTAATAATTTAATTGATTTTACTTAATTAGGACTAATTCTATCTTATTGCTGCAGATGTCTTACAAAATGCGCAACAGACTGTACTGTACATATTAACGCTAACAAATAATGATGATTGATAACGATAACAAAAATGATGTTTACCTGTATAATAAGGTGTATTTAGCACACTGAGTGATTGATTTATCAGAATAAAATGCTTGAGCAGAAGCAGAATTCCTACAGGAAAATAAAATGGTGCATTCGAAAAGGGACATCGAGCTTATAATCAGAAAACATGAAATCTCAAAAATCAATATTTCATGTTCTGTGATACATAAAAGTTTGACCCTCGATGTCTCAAAATATGGTATTTTTGCGATGTAAGTGGAATTAATCGATTTTTATATATCATTTATTTATCGAAAAAATATTTAAAATAATATTTAGATAATTCGTTTTAATAAGAAAATATACAATTTTTTTCGCTCTGTATTTGAATAAAGTCATCTTCAACTTATTGAACCTGAAATTTCTTTGTGCGTGTTTATTGTTCTTTATATTCATAATCTATTTACTCAAGTAAATTTACTTTTAGGTTTTTGTTAACTAATTTCTGTCTGCTATTAATAAACCTTGCATAATTTAATGTTTTTGGCACAATAAGTTTGACAAATTTGGCACAACTATTAACATATTACATCGAGGTAAACCGAGATGTTAATAGGCATAAATGAAAAGTCTTTCAAACGCTTTATAAGTTATATAAAATGATTCTGCACTAGTTTGCACAAATGTTTTATGCAAGATAAGATCTGAGAACCATATTTTAATGTAATTTAAACAGGATTAATTAAAACCGCTTTAATGATGCATACTGTAAACATTTTATAATAAATATTAAATATTAAAGCAGTTTATATACAGTACTGTGTTTTTGTTTTCATCTAACAATAAAATACTTAAATATCTATTAGTAACCCGATACTGTATTTTCCAATTTCATTAAAACTGTTACTTCAGAAAATGCAACACAGTATATGCAGCAAATAGCATTATTACTAAGTCGACATAGACATGAGTTGCGGAATGATATACTTTAAGCTTATGAGTCGTGGACTTTATATATAATTTCACTTTGCCGGTTGTTATGTATAGATACGCCTATATATGACAACAGATTGAATTGGAATCCTATCAAAGTTGAACCTCCGTATTTTTTTTAGAATCTCGCGGTTATAAGACCCCTTGAACTCAGAAATGTCAGAAAAATAAAAGGGAGGAATTTCCGTGGATATGTATATATGTATGTGTTTATTTGTCTGTATGTTAGCATCTATTTCGTTTAATATGTCAAGATGGGATAAATATTTAGAAACGAACTTTGTCATGTAAGCTTATGTATAAGTAGCATTAATGCTATTAAATTTTGGTATTTAAAGGTCGAGGGGGGTGAAGACGTACAATGTAGTCACTTGCCATATCTCAAGTGGGATTAGACTTAATGAAGATTTTACTCATTATTAACCTTTACATTTTTTTAATATAAAACTCATCACCCTCAAAGTTAAGTTTTTTGCTTTCGTTATTATGTAATAATTAATTAATAATATAAAAAATTTTTGTAACAAAATATAACAGATGGTGCCACAAACAATTTTATTTATTATGATTAATAATACAAAAGTTATTTTTAAATAAAATCTTATAATAACCGGTATAGCTACGCAACTCGTTGCTAGAATCTTTTATGAAAAATAATCATTTATAAAATTTTAATTAAAAAAATCTATATAAAAATTAAACAGATCAGTTTTGTTCAAATTAAAATCATATGCTAAATTATAATAAGGTCTGTTAAATTTTACCGTTGTAAATTTAATATATCGGCGGTCAGATGATCGAACAGCTAAGGTGGCAGTTTACCGCTCTGATATTCCGGATCGAATACAGACAAGTCGAAATTCCCTTTTCTAAGTGAGACCAGTTCAGATATGTCGACGCCCTTCCCTCTCTTCCTGGATTTCCAATTGTGAATGCACATGGTAAATAGAAATGGAGTTATTGCTTAGTGGCTTCAAATGGAAAAACGGCTTTCTACTTTTATTCAGGTTTTTTTTTCTTTCTATAAGCCTGTAAAATTTGGCCAAACATTTTATAAATGTTGAAAATGAAATGTTCTGAAACACTCTTTAAATACAAAATATTTAGAGGGTGTTTCAAAACGTACTAAAAATACAATTTCTTTTTGTTTTTTAGAAGAAATATTAGACATTATTTCACTTCATCATAATTATTTCGTGAATAATGGTGACACACATACATTGGAATGCCGAATATCTTCAAACGATTCTGGGAGGAAAATATATTTTAGTAAATTCCGAGACAGCAAAGAGTTTGAAGAATCTGCAAAACGCAGAGGTAATAAAATAATAATTTAATTTCAAGTAAACGTTTTTATTTTAGAAATTATACTGTTTATTATAACATACTGTATTTAATGCTTTGTATTTTCTGAACAATTACAGAAATTAAAACTTATTTTCTTCTAGATGCGATAATAAATTTTAAATTATTTTATAAAAAAACTGAAATCATCTCTTCACTAAACTGGTATATTTAAGGCTAAACATTTTCAAAAAGTGTTCAACACATCTTTTAAAATGTATTGAACACCTTTTCTCCCAAGGTTCTCATTCCCGCAATTTTAGCAGATAAAAGGAAACTCATTTGTACACCCTCTGTTTGTAGATAATAACTGCTGTTGACCACCAGCTTTACAGACCTCTCGAATCTTATGTTTTTTATTTTGCATCTAAGACATGTGGATGATATCTTGTTAACGTGGGAGTTTTCAAAACATAAACTTCAACATTTTTAGAATGTCTAAATTAGAATGTCTAAGTCATTTTCAACTATAAAATTTTCAATTGAAAAAGAAGAAGACAATTCTTCCGTCTTATTTTTAGATCCTTATATTAAAATATTGTCAAGTCGTTTGGTGTTTACCATAAATTTAGCAAAGTCTTTAATCATTCAACGCAATTTCTGCGTTTTATAAGGAATTATTTATAAATAAATACCCAAAACAATAAAATACAATCAGTGTATTTCAATCTATCGTAAAATGGCAAGCATAATGTTGTTCACTTTTCAACTTCCGCCTTGTTGCATCGCTATGCAAATTACCTGCCAAGCGCTGCGCTGGTTGACTTGTTATTTATTGATTATTCCTTATGTATAAATACATTCAAATCAGCTCTATTTCTCAGATCCTATTTATGCCTTTACTGTTAGTGAAAAGAAGAAAATAATTTTATAAATTGCAGCGAAAATTATCGTCGTTCGTGCTTACGAATAAAGTTAGCGAAAAAGACATATTGATCTGGATCGAAAATTTTTTTTTCAGAATGAGTACTAACATTTCTTTTTGTTAGTATTATTAATACTCGTCCAATCACGTTTCACATTATGTACATATGCAAACGCCTATCGCTATCATAACTTTCAGTGAAGGGACGAGTTGACTTTAAAAATTAAGCTTACATATGTATAACAGTTTCGGTTAGCCATTGTGTACGGTCCTGTATTCAGCATAATTATAATAAAATTATTTTAATATAAAATTTGATATAAGTTATATTTAAGAAATGAAACTGGTTATCATAATAATCAACATTGAACAAGGAGTTATCAACAAGGTTCAATAA